TTTGGTGACACGTGTTACTGTGCTATGGCGAATTCTAAACCATTCGTGCTGGTTGGATTTGAAATTTGTGCCAAGATGTAGTTGGACGGTCGTACTCATACAAACACAAATTGCGGAGATAGGGAGAGCTGTCTCTACCAACACAAGCATTGAAAATGAAAGACAAAGAAAAGATAGGGACAAATGTTAAAAAGGAAGAGAAAAAAAAGCTGTATAGAGAGGTTTCATCTTTCTGTCACTGTAAGTTAGGTCAAAACAAGGTTTCTCATTCCTCAGGAATTGGTCAAAACATTTCAAAGAAATCGAGATAAATTTTGATTTTTTTAATAAAATAAAGTAATATCAATGCGACTGCTCTGTATTACCTCTCGTTTTCAAAAGGAAAATAAAAAAACAAAGAGATAAGGAATAATTTGTAAGCGAAGACAAGGAGAACGAAGAGAGTCAAAGGGGTGAGAGAAAATAAGTGAATCAAGAGAGAGGAGGAAGAGGTGAGGGTGGAGGAGAAGGAGACATACAACTTAAATCGATATTAAAATTTTTTAATTGATATGTAAGAATAATACTAAAAAATGATAAATAAATAAAAATAACTTTTAGAATCGATTTTTTTCCTTTTCCATATTATGGTGTACACACTACCGACTTAGTTATAACTCTGTTCAGAAGATAAGCTGTGGTCTCTAAGGCGTATTCCTAGAATGAGACGGGCATGTCCGTGAAGCTCATCATAGACTGCATCATGTCTAACAGTATACGATTCCTTATTTCAGGTACACAATTGAGCTGATGTGTATAAGGAGGTGTCCATCGTGATAGAATCCTATGATCCTTGAGGAACTATGTAAACTCTGTACTCAAGTACTGACCTTCTCGATCTTATCGAAGTGTCTATACTCTTTACAGTTTCCTCTCCTCCTTTACAAATAATCGTTGGTGTGAGATCATTAGGCTAAGCTAATATGCGCAGGACGAACAAACATAAATTAAAGCGGAATGATCGGTGAGACGGAGGTGCGATGGAGGGCAATAATCTTAAAAATAATTTATTTCAATTTTTTAAAACTTAAATATCGAAAATAAATTTTTTTTAGAATTCATCCAAACTAAAATTTGTTAAAAAGGTACTGCTAAAGAGTTTATTAATAAAAGAGAACTATCTAACAAAAATCAGTTAGTGACTTTTCTAGGTAAATTATCTCTTTTTCATTGAATAAGCCTCTACAGATCTTTGTTCAAAATATTATTATTATTTATTTCTTGCAGTCCGCATTCGATACTTTTATACAATAATTACGATAGTTCATTTTAATATACGTCTATCAGCTAAATTTGCTTTTATAGATAATATCACATTAAATGAGTTGACCTGCCAAATTTGAAATACGACAAAAACTATTAAGTTCGTAATGAATGTTATCAATAAATATAATAAATATTTCGTCATAATAGATTTTAAAGGATGTCAGTGTCACTAATTGGGTATATTTGTATGTTAGGGATATATACAAAAGCTATATTTTGTATACGCGAAACAAAAAGGTCGGTTCTCAATTCCGCTCCTGCAGTAATGCCATCTCGATTCCTTCCTCTTCCTCTTTCCCTTTTCTTCTGGTAGATTCCGTGTTCCTCTCCGTTTCTTTGCTTTTGCGTCAAAAATCGATAATTTTGAAGTGTTTCTGTGTTGATAGAGTTTAAAGATTTAGGTTTTTGATTAAATTTGATGAGTTGGGTGTTCGTTTGCGAGTGCTCGAGTGTACAGCGCCGAAGTCGTTGATGATCGCTGCTCGGATGACGAACAGTCCATAGATTCTACCTCTCCGTTTCTTTGCTTTTGCATCAAAAATCGATATTTTTAAGTGT